TGCTGAGCCTTGCCAGCTCTGGGCCCTGCTGGGCAGCAGAGTCCCTGTGTGCCCCCTGCAGCTGGGCCTCAGCCACCTCCTGTCTCCACAGGCTCCTCTCTGCTCCTGCTCCAGCCCGGCCAAACACCTCAGGCAGGAAGAGCAGGACCTCTCACCCTCACTCTTTGTACCCTTGCTCAGCTGCGTTGCCGCGGCTGCAGCACCTGCTTTTCGATGTCAAGGTCCAGCTGCCACCAAAACGATCCTCTCTGCCTCTAAACCCACTGATCGCACCCTATGACGAGGACTGAAGTTGGTCCTTTCCTGCCCACCCCTTTTGTTCAAATAAAGATAGAGTCAGCATCACTTGAGTGTCTGGGTGGTCCCACCAGCAAAGCCCCAAGGCCCCAGCCCTGGCTGAGCTCCGTGCCCGGGCGCAGCCGTGGATGCCCACGGTGTGGGCAGGCAGGAGCCAGGCTGGGGCTGGTGTGACCAGCAGCAGGGCCCTGAGGGGCTGGGGCAGTCTGTGGTGAGGGTCCTTGGGCTGAGGGCACATCTATTGCAGCAGGACCATGTGGTCCTGGACCTCTTTGATGGTTTAAATAACCCAGGGTTAAAAAAAAGGTTAACCCCACTGAGGATGTCCACCCCCTCCTCTTCCCCCTTCTGGCAGGGGGAGAGACACTAGGAGAGACAATGGGAAAATAAAATTGTGGGAATCCCAATTTTACACGCATTTACAGAACTTTTAAAGAAAAACTTGCAGTAAACAGAACAATACAGAGGGATTGGTTTACCCACAAACAGGAGTATACATCACCAAACAAAAAAACCTGCTCCCTGAAGAGAGCATCCAGTGTAGTTTTCCTGCCTGGACCCCAGGATAAAAAAACAAGAGCGCTCCTTCCCGTTTTTCACCTCACATGGCTTGGGAGAAAAAAGAAATCAATGTGGCAAATGAGTTTCTGCAGTTTAACACCCTCCCCCAGCCAGACAAACAATGGGGAAGAGGGGCAAAGCGAAGCTTGGAAAAGTATTTTGTCTGAAAGGACTTATGCTGCAGAGACACTGGGTCCGAGGGTGCCTGTGGCGGTGACGATCCCTGCAGTAGTGGTGACGTTTGTTTTTGGATTTGGGGCGGCTCTGACCTGTGGCAGGGCTTGAGAAGCGGCTCCAACAGGTCCTGGGACTGACAGAGTGGCTCTGATGGCTCCTGGGACTGATGGAGCAGCTCTGATGGCTCCTGGGACTCACAGAGCAGCTCCAACAGCTCGTGGGACTCATGGAGCAGCTCCGATGGCTCTCGGGCAATTGTGGCAGTGGCAGGTGGCAGCTGCAGCCCTGGCCCTCCCTCTCCTGAGCAAGCCTGGCAAAAGAAAGGCCACCCTTCCACTTCTGCCCGCAGAGTTTAGAGGGACAGTCCACGCCTTCGGCGACCGAGGCAGGAATGAAAAAACGTTCCTCTTCTGGCGCCTTGGCATTCCCTGCTGGAACGACATCCTCCAATGATGATGTAGTTGGTGCAGAATATACAGTTTGGTCTCACCCATGTAGTGCTAATGCCCACCTCCTATCTCTGTAACCACGACATAATCCACTCCTTGTTCTATACCATCGTCTTCATGCCAAAATTAATCCTTTTTTAACTGTGTGTATATATATATAGATAGATAGATACACATACACATAACTATTCAGAAGCACAGGTGTTATTTCACTAGTCACTAACCATCCCCCAAGATGAGTGTTGAGTTCATTTAGTCATGAGTGGTGTAAGTGGAGCAGTCTGTCCTCATTGTCCATGGCATTTATGGGATACAGTGGCAGTGTGATTCAGCAACCAGTATTATATATGCAATTCAATGTTACAGACAGTTCTCACCCAAAATCACATCCCCTTGAGGTTGCCCATCCCTCTGCATTACCCACCAAGTGCACCCAGGTCCTTGAGCAAAAACACTCCCACGGAGGGGCTTGCCTTTGCTTGCAGCAGGAGTAATCCAAACAGTCTTCCCTAACACATTCCTCATATGCACCATGGGGACTTTATCTCCTTCTAAGGTATGGAAGGGCTCTGATTGGCAGGGCTCAATTGGTAGAGCCTCCAGTGTTAACTAACCAGGTGGCCTTTGCTAAATTCAGGTCCTACTGAAGGTCCCACTGCCCATTGCCTTCAATGTGGTTTTTAACAGTCCATTGCAACATTCAACTTTCCCAGAGGCTGGTGCATGACAGGGAATATGATTCACCCATTCTATCCCCCGCTCTCTGGCACAAGTGTCTATGAGGCTGTTTTTGAAATGAGTCCCACTGTCCAACTCAAGTCTTTCTGGGGTGCTGTGTTGCCAAGGACTTGTTTTTCCAGGCCCAGGATGGTGTTCCAGGCAGTGGTGTGAGGCACAGGGTGTGTCTCCAGCCATCCAGTGTCGTTTCCACCATTGTCAGCACACAGCACTTGCCTTGGCAGGTTTGGGGAGTGTGCTATGATTGATCTGCCCAGCCTCCCCATATTTATATTTTGACCATCATCCCCCATCCCACAGGGGCTTCACCCACTTGGCCCTGCTTAATCACAACACATTTCACACTCCCATGGATAACCTGGGAGAGAGTGTCCATGGTTAAGTCCACCCATCTGGATGTTGTATCTCTTCCCTGATGACCTGAGGTGTCATAGGCCCACTGAGCCAGAAATAATTCACCCTTGTGTTGCCAGTCCAGATCTACCTGAGACACTTTTATCTTGGCAGCCCGATCCACCTGTCCCTTGTTGTGATGCTCCTCATTAGCCCAGCTCTTGGGTACCTGTGCATTTACATGACATACTTTTACAGCCAACTTCTCTGCCCGGGCAATAATTTCTTGCCACAATTCAGCAGCCCAGACGGGTTTCCCTCTGTGCTGCCAACTGGCCTTTTCCCATAGGTCCAACCATCCCTACAGAGCGTTTGCCACCATCCACAAGTTGGTGGAGAGGTAGAGTGTTGACCATTTCTCTCATTCAGTGATATCTAAAGTCAGCTGGATGGCTTTCAGCTCTGCAACCTGACTTGATCAGCCTTGTCCCTGAATACCTTGTGTGACCCACCATGTAGGACTCCATGCAGCAGCTTTCCATTTTCAATGTGCCCCTACAACACAGCGGGAACTGTCAGTGAAGAGAGCGTGTCACCTTTCATTTTCTGGTAGCTGATTATATGGTGGGGCCTCCTCAGCACGTGGCACCTGCTCCTCTTCCTTCTCTGATGATGGCCTGAAATTTTGGCCTTCAGGCCAGTCGGTGATGAATTCCAAGATCTCTGGGCGACTGGGGTTTCCTATCCAAGCTCGCTGTGTGATCCGAGCCATCCACTTGCTCCACGTGGCATCAGTGACATGATGTGTGGAAGGGACTTTCTTTTGAACATCCAGCCCAGCACTGGCAGTTGGGGTGCCAGGAGGAGCCGTGCTTTGGTGCCAATCACTTAAGAAGTGGCTCAAACCCCTTCAAAAGCTGCCAGGATCTGTTTTTCAGTTGGGGTGTAACAGACCTTGGAAACTTTGTATCCCCGACTGCAGAAGGGTTGTCCTCGAGTCTCCCCAGGTACTTTTTGCCAGAGACTCCAGGATGGACCATTGTCCCCAGCTGCAGTGTAGAGCACGTTTTACACATCCTATCCTGTCCTAACTGACCAAAGAGCTACTGCATGAGCAATCTCTTGTTTGATCTATTCAAAAGCTTGTTGCTGTTCAGGGTCCAACTTCAAATTGTTCTTCTTCCATAGCACAAAGTAGAGTGGGCTCACAATCTGACTGTACTCTGGAACATGCAGCCTCCAAAAACCTGCAGTGCTCAGGAAAGCTGTGTTTCCTTCTTGTTGGTCAGTGGGGATAGAGCTTCTCTTTTGTTGACCATGTCCATCGGGGTCTGGCAACATCCAGGCTGTTGCCTTTTGCTCCTAGGAACTGAATTTTCTGGGTAGGTTCCTTGGCCTTACTTTGTTTTATGGCAAAACCAGCTTTCAGGAGGATCTGGATTAGCTTCTCTCCTTTCTCAAAAACTTCCTCTGCTGTGTTGCCCCACACGATGATGTCACCCAAGTGTCCTGGAGCCTCACTGGATCAGTCCACGGCAAATTGTGGGGCTGTGTTTCCACACAGTCGGTTCCAGGTGTACTGGATGCCCCTCCAGGTGAAAGCAAACTGTGGCCTGCACTCTGCTGCCAAAGGGATGGAGCAGAACTCATTAGCAGTGTCAATGGTGGCTGCCTTGGACTCCAGCTCATACTGAAGTTCCAGCATGTCCAGCACAGCGGCATCAGTGGTGGGGTGATCTCATTCAGGCCACCATAGTCCACTGTCAGTCTCCACTCTCCACTGGACTTACGCACTGGCCATATCGGACTATTAAAGGGGGAGTGATTCTTGCTGACCACCCCCTGGTCTCCAGTTCATGGATGGGGTTCACAGCGTCCCAGTTCATGCAGTGTTGCTGACATTGCACTCTTGTGGTAGCAATTGTTACCCTTTGTTCTTCAACCCTCAGCAGTCCCACAGCAGAGCAGTCCTCTCAGAGGCCAGGCAAGGTATTCAACTGTCTAATTTCCTCTGTCTCCACAGCACCTGTCCCAAAAGCCCAGTGATGCCCTTTACAGTCCCTGAAATACCCTCTCCCGAGGTAATTCATGCCAAGGATAGACGGGGCATCTGAGCCTGTCACAACGGGGTGCTGCCATGGTCCGAAATGGGGAAAGGATCACACGAAAGCACAAAGGAGTTCAAGCGAAGTAGAAGGCTGCTCTGAGCTATCGCACTTTATTCTTGTCAGGGACTCATATAGGGTAGGATGGGGAAGGTTCCAGAACTGGGGGTGGAGACACAGCCTATATGGAAAGGGTAGGAGGGGTTCAGGCCTTATTAGGGTAAAGGAGAGGAGAAACACCCAAATAAGGGCATTTATGGGAGGAACAATGCCAAATAAGGGAATGCTGCAATGCAGCAAATTCTAGCTAATCAGAAAAGAGGAATAAAACGTGAGGGAATAAACATATTAGAATTCGATAAAACTGGAGTACAAAGCTTTTCAAACCATGCATTAACAATTCTATAATTGTCCTTTAGCAAAGTCAGTTTAGTTTGTCTGGAGTTATGAGGTTTTAAGGCATCAGCAAGTGTCCAAATGTCACTGTCATCTTTCGTACACTTCTTGCTGTCTTCGAAACATCTCCCTTTCTTCTCTTGTGCCTGCTGCAAACAATAGCCCTTATCCCCAGGAAAGAAAGCCTGGAACCTTTGGCTTTCTGGTGCAGTTGGTGGGCCAGCCTGGGCACTCCATGGGCAGCAAGAGCTCTCTGTCCTTGCATCTGAGCA